TCTGGTAAAAGAAAAATTACTTTGACATTCCAAAGATATGTTATTGTAGATGCAAAAAGACAATGGACAGTCTCAGTTAGGGTAAAGATTGACCTCTGTTAGGGAAGATGCAAGCTTAGGACATGACTGCCTGCTATAAACTGCTTTTATTTAAAAAGTTTTAATTTCAGACCATCCTTTCTGGTTACTTTAGATCTTTGAGCTTGCAAGGCTGTCAAACAGGCCTCCCTGAGCTTGTCAGGTTAGCATGTGGCCCCTTTTTGTCCACAGAGCCAAGAGCCAAGAGCTAAGAGCGAACTCCTCTGTTTGGGGGATTATGTATCCCCAAATTGTCACCGGCTTGTAGTGGCTCCACCTGCTCTAGCCAATCCATGGTTCCCAGGCTAGATTGATAGGCATTGTCCCTATGTCATCCTAACTTTACTGCCTATGTGTCTGTCTCCTCTTTGTTGGACCCCTTCCCCCAGTGATATGTGGGGTATGTGCCCGGTGGTTCCCTGGGGAGTGTGAAATTGCAGCTTCCTGGTGAAGTTGCCCAAATGGCAGTGCCCATAATATCTGGCCTCCCGTTTGCGCTTTTCCTATTATTAATAAGTAGCTAATTACAATGGTATTAGAGGGACTGTTTACAGAGATGTGGGCAGAGGTGAGCAGCTAGAAATGGTCAATCACCCCAATAAACAGCAGAGGGAAATTGGTACCATCTCTAAATCTCACTGGTCAGATGGAGGAAGCTATGACCACACTTAAGAGGGACAAAAATCATGGCCTGGCAAGAAGCGGGTAGGGGAATAGATATCATGACTTTCTTCTCCTCTTGTCTTCTGGTTATAGAACAGGAAAAGTTTGTCCACCTGGTGCTAGCTGAGCCAAACACTAAATATAGAAATACAGTGGAGAAAGATTGGCTATTTTAGTATGAATGGTGCTGTCCAGGAGAATGGGAAACTAATGCTCAAAAGCCTGAACATGGCATATGGGTTACAGATTCTATAGGGCAAAATCACAAGACACCCTGGGTTAGGGGTTCAGGGTTGTGCTGAGAGCTGATTAGTTGGAGGTGAGGTAAGGGTAAGACATAATTTCTTTAGGTCTTGAAGACAGCCCTGAAGTCTTTTCCAGTATCCTTCTGGTTCTGTGGGAAAGTAGCCAGGGGGTCACTGCAATAGGGCTCAGGAACTGAAACATAACTTAGGTCAAGATGTTATCTTTAGCCTGACAAAGGTGTGAGCCAGGTGACCATTAGTCAGGTCCGGGATACTATCTTCTACTGCCTCAGGGGTGGCTGATTATCCCTGGTAATGGTGAGGGGCCGGGGCGGAATGCTTTCTAGAGCTATGATTCAAAACTAAATTTAATCAAAGTCGTAAAGACCCTTGGTTTCACTCTGATCCCCATGAAGCCAAAAGGTAATGGAGTCAGGGTGGCACCATCTAGCTTGTTTTCCACTCCTCAGACAAATCAGCCCACCATGGATCATAAATTCTCAGTAAGTTTGGAGGATCTGACCCAAGTATGCTACATATATTTTGTTGTGTTAATATATCATTATACTTTATATCTTCAGTTAAATATAGATATAATATAGCCCTTTAGTAAAGTTTATATAAAAGAGATAACCCCCAAAAAGGAGATACCACCCTTTGATTAACTTCTCTCCATATCTTATGGTCTCATGTCCATACTGCTCCCTGTAAATTTTTTACAGAAGTCTTAACAACCGCCATGTTAACAGATATCTGAAAAAAATCTAATATTCTCTCCTGCTTCTGGGCCCTATGGCTTTGATCAAGAAGCAAAAAGTTGATGCCATTTTACATGTGTTCTCATATAATCATTTTCTGTATACTGGGTAGAAGTTTGTAAATATACTTTGGAGAAAAGGAAATACTTGTCATAAAGCAGTTGGACTGGTTTCTAGAATAACCTTGCTAAAATAGATCTCAAGGTTTCTGCTGGGCCTTTGTGCTTCCACAAAAGTTAATGTTTAGCTGAGCACCTCGACATGCTCAGGAGGAAAGCAAACTGGGCTCAGAGTTGTAAACAGAGGTGGAGGGATCTGAAGAATACTGTGCATCATGGTGTGAGAAGAATTTGGAACTCAGGGAGTGGTCTGGAAGGAATAAGAGAAGAAAGAAGGAAGGCACCATGAAGGAAAGCTGGAACAGAGTTGTGGAAAGGGTTGAGGGATGAATTCAAGGATGTATTCAATTTCACATTGTTTTCTCCCAAACCTTTGGTAAAGGTGGCTTCAGGCCAAACATCTGTGAGTTATTCTGATAAAATCATAACAAGGACATAATTGAAAAAATAGCAATAATGATAAAAATAGATGCCATTTATTGAGTAGCACTAGTATGTCCTGGGCATTATGCTAACACAGATAGTTATACCATCTAGGTCACAATCACCTAGTGAGACAGATATTATCCTCCCTTTTTACTTAAGAAGACTGAGGCTCAAAGAGGTTAAACAATTCACTAAGGCCACATAGCCAGCACATGGCAGAGTCAGGATTTGAAATCAGAACCCAAACTCTTCATTATACTATACTGCTTCCCCATAATCCTCTCTATAGTGTAGAGTCTACACTGTCCTTATAAAGCTGTTGTTTAGGCTCTAAAGGTCATTGACAAGAACCCCCTCCTCCTCGAAGGCTGCTCATTTCACAGTCCAATGGCTGTAACCATTGAAAGTTTTTTTCATGTATGAGTCAGATCTGTCTCCTTAGTTTCCACCCACAAGTCCACAATCTGCTCTCTGAGCCACAAAGAACAAACCTAATCATTCTTTCACAGAGCAGGTTCTCTAATATTTGAAGATACGGTATAAAATTCTACTATGGCCCTGGCCGGTTTGGCTCAGTGGCGAGAGCATAGGCCTGTGGACCAATGAGTCGCAGGTTCGATTCTGGTCAAGGGCATGTGCCTCGGTTGCAGTTTGTCCCTTGCTCTGGTCAGGGTCGTGATGGAGGCAACCACTCAATGTATCCCTCTGACATTGATGTTTCTCTCTCTCTCTCCCTCCTTCCCACTTTACCTGAAGAGAAACAGAAAAATATCCTTAGGTGAGGATTAAAAAAAAAATTCTACTATGTTGTACCTTATAGTATATGCTTTGTAAGAGCAGGTATATCTGAAAGGGACTCTATCTGAATTGCATGCGGCTTTATTCCCAACTATGTAGAACATTACTTAGTTCATGAGTAGACATTCAACAAATATTCATAGAATGGATGAAAGCCGGCCAGCTTGGAAAGGTACAGAGTATGGTTGGGGTGCGGGGGGGTGCAAACATATAAATGAGATACTTCTCTCTCATTACTTTCTCTACATAGCATGGTTTTATGTTCATACTGCTTCCTCTAAGATATTTTTTATCAAAGTCTTAACAACCACCATGTTAACAGATACCTGAAAAAATTCACTTTCAGAGAATACATTAAATTCTGCTTCCACCCCATCTCCCAACCACCTACCCTCGTTTCCAGGTGGTCAAGCTAAACTTATGAGACAAATACACCCTAAAAAGAGACCCTCATCTCATTCTTTAGTCATGTATTTTCAAACAACTGAAGATCTTACCACCATGGAGAAATGAATTGTCATTCTATACCATAAATATATACTATATATATGTCACAGCAGCCATTCCAGAGCAACTGCGATGTCTTGCGCCTTGAACCTTTGGAATGTTCAAACTGGGCAAAATAACCTTTAAACTGGGCCAAAGCAGCAGGGTTTTCCAAACAACTGTTTGCAAAGCTAACGAAAGCAGCCTTCCTGACCACAAGAACTGGTAATTGAAGATATTCTTTAGAATCTGTAAAGAGCCATTTATAATTGAAAAGTGACCTAGCTTATTAGTACCAACTGTACCCTTTCTTTTCTCATAAAAAAATAAAAACAAAACAAAACAAAAAACCCCTTGCTTTCACCCCATAATTATAATGCTGTTTGGATTTCTGCTGGAATCAGTGCTTCCAGAATATTTATTTTTTTAAACGCTTGTTGCCTCTCACTTTGGCTTTTTATTGTCAGGTTAAAAAAATATGTATGTATATATAAATTGATGAACTTCGCACCCGTGGAAAAGTAATTTTGTTGCATCTAAGACACACAGTAAAGCACGGGGGGTGGGTAAGCGGGGCGCAGCAGCAGAGAGAAGGGGCGGCAGTGACTTTTACTGTGGACTGCATCCTTTACAGCTCTGTGTGATTAAACCAGTATTAGAAATCGTCTAATCTTATATTATATTCACTATCCAGAATATGGAAAGGGTGGAGCAGCCAAACTGTGACCTTAAGATGACAGGCAGAGAGACAGGCAGTGCAGGGCCCCTTTAAACACACTGCTGTGTCAAGAATTCGTGCAGACAGAGCTCAAGCTGCCTGCCAGTGATCTCTTGGGGCTGCTGTCACGGACACTGTTGAGGGCCACACGCTCAGGGTTCCCACTGGTGTCCATGCACCACTCTCGGCCAGGCGGGCTCCGGAGGCCCTCTGGGTCTCGGCGTCTTCAGCTGTAAAGCGGGGCTTGCATCACAGAGGAGAGTTTCTGCAAGGCGCTCCAGCAGGACTCCGTGGGGCTTGGAGCGGAGTGCAGGCCCGTCCCGGCCCTTCGGCGGAGGCGGAGGAGCAGGACCTGGCTTTGTCCCAAAAGGGCGTGGGAAGGAGTGCAGCACACGGCCAGGACGACTCGGCGGCCGCGGCCCTCGCGGGCTCTGCAGGAGGCTGGGGCGCGCCCCGACCCGGCGCCCCGCGGCCCGGCCCCCACGCGCGCCCCGCGCCTTCCTGCGGTCCGACCGCGCTCGCTGGTCCCGCCCCGCGGCTCCCGGGCGGCCCCCGCGCGCGGCCCGCCTCCCTCCTCCCTCCCCGGCCAGCCCCGCGGCGCTGGGAGGCGGCGGCCGCGGCGGTGACAGTTGCTGACAGATTCCCCGCCCCCGCGGCTCGCCACGTCCCTCACGTACGGCTCGGCCGCCCGGCGCACGCGGCTCCGGCTCCGGCTCCTCCGGGGGCTCGGCATGAGGCTGGCGCGGCTGCTGCGCGGAGCCGCCTCGGCCCGCCCGGGCCCGCGCGCCGGCCGCCCCAGCGCCGGCCGCAGCCTCACCTCCGACTCGGGCTCCGGCCCGGCGCCCGGCCCGGCGCCCGAGCGTGGCGTTCCGGGCCAGGTGGACTTCTACGCGCGCTTCTCGCCGTCCCCGCTCTCCATGAAGCAGTTCCTGGACTTCGGTGAGTGCGGCCCGGGCCTCGGGCCTTTGTGCGCGGCCCCTGTCGCCTCCGAGCCCCGCTCGCCCTCACCGCCACCCCCTCTCCTCCGTCCCCGCCCCCCTCCTCGGCGCCTCCGGTGCTTCCTTCCTCCCTCGCGGGCAGAAGCTGATGCTCAGGTGCTGGAGCCCCAGGTCGGACCCATAACCGGGGGCGTGTCCTTCTTTCTGTATTGTTGAAACCGGAGGGGCCGCGGGCTGAACGACCGCCCGCCTCCGCGCACGTGTGCAGGTCCCGGTCCCGCGCTCGGGGAGACGCAGTCCGCGGACACCTCCCGAGTCGTCGGATTCTGCGAAGTGATAATAAATGCCAGTTTTCTTTGATGGTGGCATAAAATTGGCGTCACGATAGGGGAAGCGGTTATTACTGGCCCAGTTTTTCACAGAATGTTTTTGTTGTCTCTGGCTTGAGTGTTTCCAGCAATAGCACATTCGCGTCATCGCAGCAGTAAGTCCTGAGCACGTGTAAAGTGCATGAGTACAAGTTGCTGGGTTTGACCACATTTCACCCCCTGTCGTGGGCGACCAGCCACTTTCATCTTTCCCGGATGGGTGCTGTTTTTGTTTGTTTGTTTGTTTTTCCTAGAAAGGATGCTACACATTACAGAGGAATGGCAAAGTTAGGCTCTTAACTTTAACTTCTCATATGGGGGGAAAAGGGAAATCCGTAATACACTCTAATGAAGTCATAAAATTTATGTAGAAAAAAGTAATCTTCTGCATTGTGAGTGCTGTTAGCTCACGAACGGATCACTAGTGGGCTTGAAAGATACCAGCGTGGTTGGCAACTTTATCTTAAAATTGTGGTTTGCAGTGGCAAATTTGTTTTTACATTAAAATTACTCTAGTGTGATTAAGGGGTAAATTTAACCTTGTACACAAATATGCCTTTCAGTTTCCACAAGAAAATCTTTTTCTTCAAAACCAATTCCTGCTGTTGACAATCTAATTTTTAAATACTTAATTTATTAATTTTTACACAATCTAAATCTAATTTTTGCTAAGGTTGTCTCTTGCTGAAATAGCAAGATTAAATTAGTGGCTTTAAAATGCATTGCTGAAATGATCTCACTTTTTAGTTTTACTTTAAATGGAAATGCTTGCCTGAGGATGGTCTATAGCTTAGCATGTAGCAGGCTGCTTTCCAGGAATTACACAGTTGAATAGGACCTGCTTGGGGGAGACACTGGAAGGTGGTTTCTGAACAGGCATTGGTATTTTTTGCTTTTTGTTGCCTGAAAGCCCTTCTCTACATTTACTCTTTGGTTATGGTAATTAGTATAGTGGTTCCTGTGCACATGACAAAATTTCTCTGTTTCTTAGGCAGGTATTCACTTCTTATAAACAGAGACTTAGGAAACATGTTCTAAATGATGACAGCAACAGTTTATATAGGGTAGGCTTTGCAGGTCCTGTTAATTAGACTCCTCACCTTGTTCAGACTTGCTCAGGTTGCCATAGTTCTAAGACAGGAGATCACAATAAGGATGCAAGCAATGGAGACAGGAAAGTTTCTTCATTGCTCTACAGAGCAATTGGAATGTCAGAAATTGGAAGGTTATTTAGGATGCCCTAGAGACTGGGTTATTTCATCCCTTTCCTTCTCTTCCTCACTTACCCTGTCATTATGGTGATGCTACCCCTCTGATGTTTCTGGCCAAATAACTGCCTCTGTGTTTCTCCCTGCCTGGCTTCCACTTACTGCTGTTCCCACCGTGTCTGGTTTCAGGATCTGTGAATGCTTGTGAAAAGACCTCATTTATGTTTCTGCGGCAAGAGTTGCCTGTTAGATTGGCAAATATAATGAAAGAAATAAGTCTTCTTCCCGATAATCTTCTCAGAACGCCATCAGTTCAGTTGGTACAAAGCTGGTAAGATTCCTGTGTTTGCAATTTTGATGGGGTTGTGGACTAAGCAAATCCTTTTTTCCTCTTTAGTGGAATCTTAAGGAAGTAGCAGCATTCCAATACTTTTTTGGGGTGTGTCTGGGCTTATCCCCCGAATCCTGGATTTTACAACTCCTTGGTTTTGAGAAAAACAATCAGAACTGCACAGAAATGCAGACAATAAATTTAAGATTTGTGTTATTAAATCTGCAATGATGTTATATTATAATATCTACCATTTACTGAAGTGAGGGAGTTATATACAGTACTTTTAATTCTTTCTACAACTCTGCCCAGTAGGCATTATTCCCTCCATTTTACAGATGTGGAAACAGGCTCCAACAAGTTAAGTCTTTTACCTAAGGCAGTACCACTCATACTGCAGATTTTTAAAACATATTAAAAAAATGTTTTTATTGATCTATTAGAGAGAGAGGAAGGGAGAGAGAGATAGAAACATCTATGTGAGGGAGAAACACTGATCAGCTGCCTCCTGCACACCCTTCACTGGGGATGGAGCCCGAAACCAGGCTCTCAGTCGTGTGGAACGGAACGGTGCTCAGTCCACTGGCCACATTGTTTCTACTATACCATGCTGCAGTCAGAAAGATGAAATGTATTAAAGGGTGAATATTTTTTAATAAACTTTATTTTATTTAACTATATTTTTCTAAGTCATGAAAGTTAAAATCGTTATCACTTAAAAACAATTAGACTTGGAATCAAGTGGAAACTAGGACAGTAGAGGTATGAAGGGTATGCGCCATATGTGGCCACCTATATACAGCCTTTCTTATTAATGTTATTAATTTAATAGTGTCATTCTCTTAATCACTAAACATTTCAAACAAAGGAGTCTGTCAGAGTTCAGTCTTAAATTGAAAAAATTTAGCTGCAAGACATTTCCCAATAATTATTCATGGAGATCCTCCCTTTCCTTTTGTAGGCATCATAGTTCATGCAAGAAGCTGGTCTAATATGAATTTTAAATAATAAGTGAAAGAAACATGATGGCTATATACAGTTGACCCTTGACCATCATGAGTTTGAACCGTATGGGTCTACTTACACATGGATTTTTTTCAAAAAATGCAATAAATGTATTTATATATTTCTTAATAACATCTTTTCTCTAGCTTACTTTATTGTAAGAATACATTATATAATATACGAAACATAAAATATGTGTTAATTGACTGTTTATGTTATTGGTGAGCCTTCTGGTCAACTGTAGGCTATTAGTAGTTAAGTTTTGGGGGGAGTCCAAAGTTACTTGTGGATTTTTGACTGGGGTGAAAGGGTCAGGAGTTGGCACCTCTAACTCCCGAGCTGTTCAGAGGTCAACTGTATATGATGATAGATGCTATGTAATCCAAGTGTGGAACAATTATGAATGTTTAAGTAAGAGACATTTGTTTAGGAACTATGGTGGAATATAAAGGAGAATGGATAATTTTCTCTGGAAGCTTATTCTTGTTTTGTTTATTTTTAATTCTTCATTAAAAAATAGCATATGCTGCATTTTAAAATCTGATCTGTGCCTAACATGTTGCAAGTATTCACATCTCTCTTGAATAAAGAGCACAGTTTTTCTTGCCAATGAAGAGAAAGTTAATGGTTAAAGCAAAACTATAGATACCAAAATCACTTGACTTTGGAATGTAGAGAGGCAAGTTGCTTTCAGCAACAGCTTTCCAAACTAGCATTTGGATTTGCAGATTTCTAAAACATTTTCATTGCCCCCCGCCCCACACCTGCTGAGTTAGGGCAGTTAAGCAGACCTTGCACTCATGAAGGTCACTGAATGATAGCAAGGCGGCATTTTTTTTTAGCTCTGGCCCTGCACTGCCATTGTGCTTGGTGGCATGACCTTGAGAAAGTCATTTGGCTTTCTTTATTTTGCTCCTTCCTTAACAGGTGATTTGCTACCTTGAATTGTTAGATAAATCAAAACCTACATTGTCACGACTTTTGTGTTTTTGTTCAGTTCTGTTTAAAGGAACTAGGTGGTGTAGATTGTAGGCTTTCAATAAATATTTGTGGATTGGACATAAACATCTAAAGTTAAGGTTTAAAGCACAGACCTTTAAGTTAGACTCTTAGGCCAATGTAGGCTGGGCTCTACATTTTACTGAGATTAAGATAAATTAATCACATAGTTGTTGGTTATAGACACAGTTCTCACGACAACCATTATTTATACTGTAATTTACAGTGGTAAATTTGGGAAATTTAAAAGCTATTTTAGAGTATAAAAGTTTAAAAAAGTAGAAGAGGTAGGAAATCTTACAATTCTTCAGTCAAATTAAACCTATGCTTTTAGAAGAAAACATGCACTTTCTACTAGTTGTTGCCAGGAACTTTGCTCAAATGTGATTGGGTATAAAAATCATACTTCAGCTATAATTTATAGCACTATTCTAAATTAAAAATTAAGAAATATTAAAAATACCCTTTGAGCATTTTCACAATGTGGAACTCTCAAAATGTGAAAGAGCAAATTTACCCTGTTGACTTGTATTTTAGGTATATCCAGAGTCTTCAGGAGCTTCTTGATTTTAAGGACAAAAGTGCTGAAGATGCTAAAACTATTTATGAGTAAGTACACTATTTTGACCTTATTCTGAGCATAGTTTTTGTACCCTTTAAACATCATATAGAAATATAAATGTATTGAACTTAAACCTGCTTTTGGGTCACTTTAGGGAAATTGATCAACTTTTAGTTTCTCACTACTATAGAACACATGGCAGCATATTTGTCGAAAGCAGCCCATACAGGCAAGGCAAGTAACATAAATCAGTACATTGTACTGGGAATAAGAAATGCTTCATGTTCTTCTGAACTCCAGGGTAAAAAAAGACACAGTTCAAGTGTGATGGTCTACAGATATCTAGATGTGGCCTCAGTGACACTTGATGAAAGGTGAGAACTTTTAACCTGGAGAGTGCATGCATCTGAAGGACAGCCACCCTCAGCTCCAGCCGTTCATTGCAATACCGAACCGCTGCGCAGATCATCTGTTTTGTGTGTTTAACGAAAAGCCACAAGTCTAGATTTTCAGTGTGAAACCTCCCAATTTGGAATGATAGGCAACTAATTAAAAAATTAAAAAAAAATACTGAAGGCCTATCAAAGCATATCTATGGATCTCTAGTTTATGATCTGTGGTCTATAAGATAGTGTGACCACTTCAATACCAACATATCAGAACTGATAAACCCAAGTAGTCCCCTCAGGCAGTTACCTGCTTATTGCAATGAATGTTGCTCAGAAGTTGGAGACCACCTCTTTTGTTGTCCTCAGTCTTTTATACATTTTTGACTGTTTGTAAAGGTGACGGCAACACTTCGTTTTTAAACATGATTTTGGTCTGAAAAATAACATCAAGATTTACTCTGTGCCTACTTAGGGAGCACATTTTACATGAATGATGCCATTTAATCTTTAAAACAATTCAATTAAGATAATACTATCTGCACAAAGAGGTTAAGTAACTTAAGGTAGCATAAAGGTCATATAGCTAGCAAACAGTAGGACCAGGATTTGGACATAGTTTTAAAAGTAAACGTTAGGTTACTTTTATGTTATATGGATTATGTTATTGAAACTTCTGGAAACAGTCATTCAGAGCAGTTAAGCAGAATAATACTGTTTTGTATTTTTAAAAAAGAGAAAGATTAAATAAACTAATAAAGGGGTGACTAGAAAAGATGAGATGTTTGTTGTTTTTGAGAAGTTTTATTGTTTGTATTTTGAATTAATGGTTTGGCTTTGAAGCTAATTACAAACTAGGAATTTCAAATATGTTTTGAGCCGTGAGATCGTCATTGGAATAAGTTATTAGTACTCAAGGTGACGACTTTGAATGGAAAGCACTCATTCGAAAGGCTAAATTCTGATGGGTACGTTACAAAATGGGTTTTGTTACTTCTTCTCTCTTTTATTTAGTTTTTTAAATTGCCCATGCAAATATCTTCTAAATGACACCAGTGGGAAGACCAGATGATTTGAAAATTTTTCTTTTCATACAAGTTGACTTTTCCTCTCCCATTTTTAAATGTATAAGATGAGTGAAATTAGAATTCTTTCCTACTTTTCTGTTCTAAGTGGTTCTTTCTCTCTTTGAACCCTAGGGAGTAGTTCCAAAGCAGACAGGCTCTATGCTCATTCATCTTCATTCCTTACAGAGCATGTGTTCCCTAGAAGCAAGTGCTCTGTCTTCTCTCATGCTGAATGTCCCTGGAATACTGTCCTCTTAGTGAGTGCTCAGATGATCGTAGTTGATGATGGTTAAAGAAAACCATAACAGTTTAAGATTATATTTTGTTGCAGCCTTACTTTTAAGACTTCCAAGAAAATAATTAAATTTCAAAAGTTTTATTTTGGAAGTTCTACCTTCACAGATTCAGTATGTTTAATGATCTGAAATATATTTGGAGACGTGTAGGAAAATGTGCACTGAGGCTCCTTTTGCTGAATTAGGGATTGCTGCCGAGTGTAGTTGGTTAAACTTAGATTTTAGTATTCAATTCACTTGTCAAAATACTTGGCTGTTTTGAGAGACAGGTTTGTTTAGCTTTACAGATACCGTGATACGTATCAGGAACCGACACAATGACGTTATTCCCACCATGGCTCAGGGTGTGATTGAATATAAGGAGAGCTTCGGGGTGGATCCTGTCACCAGCCAGAATGTTCAGTACTTTTTGGATCGCTTCTTCATGAGTCGAATTTCAATTAGAATGTTACTCAATCAGCACTGTAAGTGTCCAGAAGTGAAAAGAAGCTAAATAAAGTGTGTTGGTATATTTTAAATTTATTTAGAAAACTTCCGTTTAAGGAGAATGCTTAATTTTACCTTTTTTGCATATTAAGAAATGTACATTGACTGCCATACAAAGGAGTTGTTTTTAGTTTATGGTTTTTTTTGTTTGTTTTTTTATCCCCACCCAAGGATTTTTTTCCCCATTTATCTTCAGATAGAGTGGGAAGGAGGGAGGACAGGGAGAGAGAGAAAGAGAAACATCAGTGTGAGAGAGACACACCGACTGGTCACCTCCCACACGACCCAGACCGGGGTTGGGCACCCAATCTCAACTGAGGTACGAGGTACATGCCCTTGGCCAGAATCAAACCTATAACTCTTTGGTTCGCAGGCCGATGCTCTAACCGCTGAGCCAAACTGGTCAGGGCAGTGTTTAAGAAAAATATTTCTTCTGTTGTTTGGTACCATTTAGAAAAACAGTTTCAAATCTGGAAAAGGACGTTGGATATTTTAGCTTATTTTGTTTGTCTCTGATATTTTATTTCCTAATAGCTTTATTGTTTGGTGGGAAAGACAAAGGAAGCCCATCTCATCGAAAACACATTGGAAGCATAAACCCAAACTGCAGTGTAGTTGACGTTATTCAAGGTAAATACTTATATTTCTCCTTTCAGAAAGGATACAGAAATAAAAATTGTTGAGTGTTAATTCTTGCCATTAGAACAACTATTTATATCATGAGATAAAAATGTTAGAGGTGATACGTGGGTTTGCAGATAACTGTAATGTTCATTGTGCCTTATGTGCAGGATGAATATTTGTTGATGCAATGCTTTGTTAGGCAAAGTGTGGTGATACAGTGAGGGTCTATTTCACTTCAAAAACTTTAAGCCCCGCTTTCCCCTTTCTAATTCGTTAATCTAGGAGTCATAATACATAAGTTTATTTTGCATCTTTTCACACTTTTTTCTGTTTATACCACATATATTCATTCATACATGATTGCTGGTCTTCCATTGTTGTTTTTAGAAAAATGAGGTACTCTATGTATATTTTTCCATAGGTTTACAGATATTGTACCATGTTCAGTACATATGGATATACCCCAGCTTTTTGAATGGCTGTATGGATATATCAGAATATATTAGTCTGTCTGCCTTCGGATGCACATGTTGTTTGTTTTCATTTTTTTATATTACCAACAATACTGCAGTGAACATTTTTAGATACGTGCTCACTTTTGCTAGTATTTTAGAAAGGAAGATTCCTAAGATTAAAGATATTTAAAGTGTGCCCAGCTGGTATGCCTCAGTGGATTGAGCGTTGTCCCTGGGACTAAGAGATCCTGGTTCAGTTCACAGTTAGGGAACATGCCTGGGTTGCAGGCTCAATCCCCAGTAGTTGGCATGTAGGAGGCAGCCGATTGATGTCTCTCTCTCATATAGGTGTTTCTATCTCTCCCTTCCTTTCTCTCTGAAAAGTCAGTAAAAATAATATTAACAAACATTATATATTTAGCCCTGTCCAGTTTGGCTCAGTGGTTGGAGCATCAGCCTGCAGACCAGAGAGTCCTGGGTTCGGTTCCCGCCAGGGGCATGTACCAAAAAAATAAAATAAAATAAATAAATATATATATATATATTTAAAGCACATTTAAAATTTTTTTTTTTTTTAATCCTCATTCGAGGACATTTTTCCATTTTTTGTACAGACAGAGTGGGAGGGAGAGAGAGGAAGAGAGAGAGAGGGAAACATCGATGTGAAAGGGACACATCGAGTGGCTGCCACCCGCACGACCAACCAGGGCCGGGGACAAACTGCAACCGAGTTACATGCCCTTAGCGGGAACCGAACCCGGGTCTCTCCGGACCGCAGGCCGATGATCTAACCGCTGAGCCAAACCGGCCATGGCGCATTTAAAATTTTGATGCCCCTCCATAAGGTATCAAACAATGAATGAGAGGGTCTTTCCTAAACCCTCACCAACTCTAAATGTTTATTATATGTATTGTTTTATTTTTTTTATCTTCACCAGAGGATATTTTTCCATTTTTGTTCAGATAGAGTGGGAGGGAGAGAGAGAGAGAAAAACATCGATGTGAAAGGGACACATCAAGTGGCTGCCTCCCACATGATCCCAACCAGGGCCTGGGGACGGATCGCAACTGAGGTACATGCCCTTAACCAGAATCAAACCTATGACTCATTGGTATACGGGCCGATGCTCAAAACACTGAGCCAAACCGGCAGGGCTGTTGTATGAATTGTAAATAATTTCTTCAGCCTGCTGTTTTTCTTTACTTTGTTTATGGTGTCTTTTTCTATACAGATGTGTGTGTGTGTGTGTGTGTGTGTGTGTATTTTGCTTTTGTCTTTTTGGTATCGTATCTGTCATTTTTCCTTTCTGCTATTAGGCTTTGTCATGCCATATTTCAAAAGATCTTCCCCAAACTAAGATTATTAAAGTATATTTTCTTCTATAAAAAGTTTTAAAATTTCATTTGTCAGTGCTATTGCCAACTTAATGCATGAAACAAAAGTAAATTTATTTAATAATTTTCTTTTGTTTTGATTTATACTAGATGGCTATGAAAATGCTAGGCGTCTGTGTGATTTGTATTATATTAACTCTCCTGAACTAGAGCTTGAAGAACTAAATGGTAAGCCTCCTGTTACGATTCCTCAGTGATCAGTGTCATGATTACCTGAGAAGGAATGAAAAGAATAATTTAGATTTGTTTTAATGTAAGAGGACTTTTAATCAACTTTTTCATTGGCTGTGAAAGCTGAGAGAGAGTAGTAATGTTAAAAAAGATTTGTATGTGTGGTGTGTGTGTGTGTGTTTAATGTAGTTGGGTTCTTTCTGAAAGACATTTTGGCCTTCCACATTTTTTAATTTTTAATCGATAATGTTGATTCTTTGCTTATCAGTTTTCTGGTTAGAAAAAAATGACATCAGGAAAATTCCATTTGACTTTTATATGCACTTCAATAATGTAAGGTTTACCCTTGAAGATTTTTATTTCCTGAATTATTTCCTGAGGAAGTAAAAAGACTGGAGGCCTAAAAGAGGAAAGAAAGATGCTCATTTATTTGAGAATCTCTTTATCTTTGGTGGTCTTTTTTTTTCACCTTGACTTAGTGCTTTTTGGACAAAAAAAGGTTTAGGTGCCTTGGAAGGAGATTTATGACTCTCACTGTTTTTCCTAGAGGTAGGGTAGTTTTAGAAGGGGGAAAGACATTTCCTAAGTTAACATGACGCTTTCAGAAGAATAAAATTAAACAGGCTTTTACTAAGTTGTATTCTGGACAGCAGTGGATGAAGTTACCCAGTTGAAAATAGAATTGCTTGATGTTTTTCTAAAGCAATATTAATGCTTTTGGTCCATAATGGTACCATTCGGTAAATGAGAATCACAATGCACAGGTGATCGTCTGGGAACCTGAACTACTGTGGGCAGTTTCTGAATGTCCCACTCATGTTTCTAAGGGGTATTTTATTCAGAGGGGCATCCAGTTTGTTGGCTGCATTAGAATCCTAGGGTATGGTGAATCTTATTCCTTTGCTCTGCCCAAAGTTCTGTTTTACACACTACCTCCCCACAGGCCCACCGGGGTGCCTATTAAATGGTTGAATGTAAAATTAGCGTCCCTTGACAAGTTGATACTAGCTTAATTTTTTTACTTCAGATCTATATCCATGGAAATGCCTGAAATAAAAGAAAACCATCCACCTGGTTGAAACATTTTAAAAAGTGGCTTTTTAAAAAAAAAGAATGTATTTGTGTAAGTTGGACTATGGAATTTATAGACTGTAACACTTCTTTTTGGAGAATAAAATTCTGACCTTAAGGTTGAGTGTCCTTTAAAAAGACTCACCGTCATAGAGAAGAATGGGAAGAAGGGCTGGTCAAATTGTTATGCAGGACTCATGTCGTGTCAGGTATTAATGTAGGTGAGCATGGGGTTCAAACACTGATACAGTGAAGAACTGGTATGGCACTTCTCCCCCAAATGATACTATCCTTCATAGAGAATGTTTTCTTTTCATCACTACACAATATATTCTTTAAAATGCTTTAAGCACATCTCTCTGTACTTTTATTTTTCTCTTCTGCTCTGTAGCAAAATCACCAGGACAGCCAATACAAGTGGTTTATGTACCATCCCATCTCTATCACATGGTGTTTGAACTTTTCAAGGTTTGTAAAATAGTATTACATAACCTTTATCAGTCCTTTCCTGAGGTTAGGAATCTGCTGTAAAAGTTAATCTATTGGGTTTTCTTCGGGTTAAAAGATGTTATTTAATGTTCAGTATCATGTCACATTCCTGGAGATCAGCCTATTGTCAATATTGATGGGCATCTCAGTGTGGTGGTAAGCTCATACTTGGGAATCAGAAAGACCTGGGTTTGAATTCCAGTTCTGTCACTTAATTATGTGCGTGACCTTGGCCAGGTCGCTCAACTTTTCTGAGCCTCAGTTTCCTCTTCTGGAAAACAAGGGTAATACTATTCAAGTTATTATGAAGATTGAGAATAACATATTAAATGTCCAGTACAATGTCAGCACATTATAGGTGCTTGATAAAGTTTTATTTTTGTAAAATATTTAGAGGAATGATTCTTAACTTTTCACCCACAAAGGACCAGAGTCCTACTGCTGTATGCTTTTTTTTTTAGAGTCATTTATGTTGACTTAGGATTTCTGCTGTTATATTTGCTCTTTACAACACATTCTGAAAAGTAAATAAAATTATTCTAATTATGTTGCAAATACATTTTTCCCAATAACACTTGTTGATAGACAGCAAAGTGGGTGATGAGGAGTGGTCCCTGGGGCTGAAAATGACACCTAAGTCAAGCCTGTAGTCTCTCTTACTTTAGTTACCTTGTCTTTAGCTAGGAGCAAACTAGAAGAGAGAAGGAGGTAGCTTTTAGCTTGATAAGGAAAAAGAAAAATATACTGAAAACAGAGCTAAACTGACTGAATAATGTCTTAGATCAGCAAGGATTCAGGAATACTCTTTTGTTCTAAGATAGCAAGAAAATATCTAATCCTTCCGAAAGTCTTTTAAAGTAATTAAATAAATGATTGGCACTTAAAGAATTAAATGAAATACTACCATATTACATAAGAGACTTTGTGTAATGTCAGTAATTACGGCTTCCCTATGGAACCTAATCGTAAGTGGCCTTTGGTAGAGATGATAGAATATGCTCCTCAGGGAGACTTGGTCCTGATTGGTGTGCCAGGGTCACACTTATTTCCAAAGTCAGTCCCGTCTTTTTACTTTTTTACTTTATCTAGTCTTACCAATTCGACTCCAACGCTACGTGTTATCATTTAGTGCTTATAATATATGGCTGTGTGTACCCTGTATCCTTTACAAATGGATCAAAACAGTTTTATAATGTAAATATCCTTCGTTTTTAAACTAGTGGTAAATGGCTGAGTTTCTACATCAGAATAAGACCATTGCTGTTAATAGTACATGAAAAAAATTTTTTTCTTAAAGCAATTTATGACAAAACGGTTCTTAAAAAAGAAATGAAACTGTTTTAAAAAATAAGTGTTGTCTGTTATCTATTAAATTATAAAAGCATTTGGATAAAATTTTCTGCTTTAATGTAAACTAGTTAAAAGTGTTGAGACATCTGTAAAATATGCAGAATTTATTTGAAATCTTTAAATCAAAATATCTTACAAGTCCTCCAAAACTGACTTAATGATTTTTTTTTAAAAAGTAATTCTTTAAATGTGATCATAAGAATTATGATTCTTCGGTATATTTCCAATGAATTAAAACTTTTAAAATTTCAAATAGTGCATATGTAGTTGAAAATTATAATTTGTTTCTCTTTTTTTAAAGTTGTATTTTTAATGTAAATCTAATGTGTTTCAGAATGCAATGAGAGCAACCATGGAATACCATGCTGACAAAGGCGTTTATCCACCTATTCAAGTCCATGTCACACTGGGTAATGAGGATTTGACTGTGAAGGTAAATGCCTTTTCTTTTCTTTTTTAAATTGATGTACAGGCATGCACATAATTTCTAGAAGGCATAATTTATTCTTAGGAGTAAGAAATCCTATCCCTAATAGCTAATAAGCTCATTGCTTCATTTATCTGGCTGATTATGGAATTATCCCTTGAGTCTGTTTCTGTTCTGTTCTCTAATTCAGGTGATTCAAGTTCCAGTAAATCCTAGAGACAAACAATTTATTTTTATTTATTTTTATAAATATGCAGGAGTAGGCATACTTCATTTTTTTATTTTATTTTTTTGGTATGCGCCCCTAGCGGGAACCGAACCTGGGACTGTCTGCTCTAACCGCTGAGCCAAACCAGCCAGGGCCAAGACAGACAGTTTAGCACTGATCATGAATATCCACTTTGATTACCACTTTCATAAATAAAATCTAAAATATTTGAGTATTTGCAGTGTTATGTAGATAGTACATAATTTTTCATTTTTATTTGCTTATTTTTTTAATAAATGTGTTTTTATTGCTTTTTTGAGAGAGAGAGGAAGGGAGAGAGAGATAGAACCATCAATCTGCAACCTCTTGGTGCACAGGACAATGTCCAACCAACTGAGCTACACTTGCCGGGCAATTTTTCATTTTTAAACAATGCTTTCAGTCTACTTTTATTTTAATTATTTCATTTGATTCTCATAATGACTCTTTATTTTTTTATTTTTATTTATTTATTTTTTTTACTTCTCTCGACATTTTTCCATTTTTTGTTCAGATAGAGTGGGAGGGAGGGAGAGGAAGAGAGAGAGAGAGAGACAGGAACATCGACGTGAAAGGGACACATCGAGTGGCTGCCTCCTGCACGACCCAACCAGGGCCGGGGTCAAACTGCAACGGAGGTACGTGCCCTTAGCAGGAACTGAACCCAGGTCTCTCTGGACCACAGGCTGACGCTCTAACTGCTAAGCCAAACTGGCCAGAGTATAATGACTTTTTAGTTAGGAGCACAGGTGGTTTTGTTCTCAAGTTTACAGATAACAAACTATGACAGTGATTAGGTTGTGATTCCACAGTGAATAAATGACACAAGGCATAAAATCAGGTCCTCTGACCCTGGTGCCAGGCCTTTTCCACTGCATTGTTCAGATAGCCCAATTCTGTTTTTTAAATAATTGTTTAAATTTTTGTTTTAAAGTAATAAATACAGAGAGTGTAAAACTCAAATATGTCAGTTTCTGGCCGTTGGTGGGTCACTGCTCAGAGATGGTCTTTTATTTCTTTTGGAATTATTGTTCTTTTTTTTAATCCTCACCCGAGGACATTTTTCCATTTTTTGTTCAGCTAGAGTGGGAGGGAGAGAGAGAGAGAGAGAGAGAGGGAGAGAAACATCGATGTGAAAGGGACACATCGAGTGGCTGCCACCCGCATGACCAACCAGGGCCAGGGACAAACTGCAACCGAGGTATGCGCCCTTAGCGGGAATCAAACCCGGGTCTCTCTGCTCCGCAGGCCGACACTCTAACCACTGAGCCAAACCTGCCAAGGCTGTTCTATTTTTAAGTAGTACTTTGACATTGCTATTTCTGAAATTAAAAATTTTTAAATGGCAAATATTAGCTTTCTGTTATGGTAGGTGAGGCATTAGCTCTCTTAGAGTACCTCCCCTCCCTTACCCAGCTTCAGTTGCTATTTTCTCAATATTTAAGTTCATACATGGAATTCTAGATTAAAAATAATAATCTTGAACACTTTTGAAGGCATCAACTTTTTTTTTTTTTTTGGTGAATCCTCATCTGAGGATATTTTTTTGTTAATTTTTAGATAGACTGGAAGGGAGGGAGAGAAGGAGAGAGAGAGAGAGAGAGAGAGAGAGAGAGAGAGAGAGAGAGAGAAACATCGATGTGAGAGAGACACATCAATTGGTTGTCTCTCAAATGAACCAGACCAGGGCCAGGGATGGAACCTGTTCCCAGGTGTGTGCCCTTTACTGGAGATTGAACCTGAGACCCTTTGGTCTGTGGGCCAACATTCTAACCGCTGAGCCAAACTGGCCAGGGCAACTGTGTTTTTTTTTTAAAGTGTATAGTTCATTGGTTTTTAGTATATTCACAAGGTTGTGCAACCATACCACTGTCTAATTTCAGAACATTTTCATCACTCCCAAGAAAATCCCAATGCCCATTACCGATCACTCCCCATTTCCCCCTCTTCTCAGTCCTTGGAAATCACTAATCTACTTTCGTGTATGGATTTCCCTATTCAGTACATGTCATAAAAATGCAGTCATATACTATGTGGTCCTTTGTGACTGACTTCTTTCACTCAGTGTAATGTTATAGCATGTGTCCATACTTTATTTCTTTTTATGGATGAATAATACTCTGTTGTGTGGGTGTAACATATTTTGTTTATCCATTCATCAAGTTGATGGACATCTGGGTTGTTTTCATTTTTGGGCTATTATGAGTAATGCTGCCATTCATGTAGAAGTCTGTGTGTGAACTTGGGTTTTCAATTCTCTTATTTTATACCTACGAGTTGTATTGCTTTTAGGTAACTGTGTTTAACTTTTGAGAAACTGCCAAACTGTTTTTCCAAAGTAACTGTGTCATTTTATATTCCCACCAACAATATATGAAGGTTCCAATTTTTCCCCATCCTTGCTAACACTTGTTATTGTCATTCTTTTTTATTATAGCCATCCTAATGGGTATGAGAGGTATCTCATTGTGGTTTTCATTTGCATTTCCCTAATGATTGATGCTGTCAAACATCTTTTCATGTGCTAATTGGCCATTTGTATATCTTCTATAAAGAAATATCAATTAAGATTCTTTGCTCAGTTTTTAAGTGGCTTGTCTTTTTATTTATTTTTTAAATATGTTTTTATTGATTTTTAGATAGGAAGGGAAAGGGAGAGAGAAATAGAAGTATCTGAGAAACATTGGTTGGCTGCCTCCTGCATGCCCCCTACTGGGAATTGATCCTGCAACCCTGGCATGTGCCCTGATCAGGAATCGAACCAGTGACTTCTTGGTGCATGGGATGTCTCAATCCACTGAGCCACACTGGCTGGGCAAGTGGTGTCTTTTTATCGTTGAGTTATAAGAATTTACTCTCTCTGTACATGGTGGGGCAAAAGTAGGTTTACAGTTGTAAGTACACAAAACAGAATTTATTTTGTATTATTAATTATTGTATCATTTTCCATATGAACAACTGTAAACCTACTTTTGCCCCACCCCATATATTTTCTATTGTAAATACTAGTCTCTGATGAGCTGGATGATTTGCAGATGTTCTACTCTGTGGCTTTTCACTTTCTTTTTTTTTTCTATTACTTTCTTAATAGTGTCCTTTGAAACACACAAGTTTTTCATTTTTGGAATTCCAATTTTTCTATTGTTTGTGCTTTCCCTGTCACATCTAAGAAACCATTGCTTAATACAAAGTCACAAAAATTTATTCCTGTGTTTCTTTCTAAGAGTTTTATACTATTAGTTTTTACATTTAGGTCTGCTCAATTATGGTTAATTTTTATAAATGGTTTGAGGTAGGGATCTGATTTCTTTCTTTTGCCTATAGATATCCAGTTGTCACAATACCATTTATGAAAACACTCTTCTTTCTCCATTGAATTTTCTTGTAACCCTTGTCAAAAATCAATTGCTCATAACTGTATGGGTTTATTTCTGGATTTCAATTACTTTCCATTAGTCTATATGTCTCTCCTTATGCCTTATCTTCATTATTATAGCTTTGATGTAAGTTTTAAAATTGGCAAGTGTGAGTCCTCCAGTTGTTTTTTTTCTGCTTCAAGATTGTTTTGGCTGTTGTGGGTTCCATGTGTTTGTATAAGATTTTAATATCAGCATCTCAGTTTCTGCAAAAAACACCAGCTTTAGTTGGATGGGGATTGTGTTAAATGTGTAGATTAAGTTTTCTAATTCATGAGCATAGGCTCTTTGCACTTAGTTAGCCTTCTTTAACTTCTTTCAACAAAGTTTTGTGATTTTCAGTGTATAAGTCTTGCACTTCTTTTGTTAATTTTTTTCTTAAGTATGTTATTCTTTTTTGGGCTGTTGTAAATGTAATGTTTTAAAATTTCATTTTAGGATTGTTTATTGCCAGTACATAGAAATATAACTGATTTTTGTGTACTGATCTTGTATCTTACAACCTTGCTGAACTCTGAGTTCTAATAATTTTTTGTGGATTCTTTAGGATTTTCTATATAAGATCATGTTATCTACAAATAGAGATAATTTTACTTTTTCCTTTCTTGGATTATGTCAGATGGTTATTTCTGCATAGATTGAGATGATCATGTAGTTTTGTTCTTTATTTTATCATTTGGTATATTACATTGATTGATTTCTGTGTGTTGAACCAACCTTACATTCTTAGGATGTCTTTTAGTTTAGTTTTTAGTTTGTTTGTTTCTGAAGACTTTTGCATTCATATTCAGAAGGGATGTTTATTGGTTTGTAGTTTTCTTGTGATATCTTTGTCTGGTTTTGGTGTCAGAATAATACTAGCCTTCTAGAATGCATTGGAAAGTGTCCTTTTCTATATTTTAGAAGTTTGTGAAGGATTGGTATTAATTCTCTCTTAAATATTTGGTAGAAACCACTAGTGAAGCCATTTGACCTGAGCATGTTGTGAAAGATTTTTAATTATTAGTTCAATCTCTTCATTTGTTGTAAATCTATTGAACTTTTCTGTTTCTTATTGAGACAGTTTCTGTGGTTTGTCTAACAATTTGTCCATTTCATCTAGGTTTTCTAATTTGTTCATAGTATTATACAATCATACAATTGTTCATAGCATTCCCTGGTAATCCTTTTTATTTTTCATTCCTGATTTTATTAATTTGAGTCCCCCCTCCCCTTTTTTTGGTCAGTCTAGCTAAAAGTCGTCAGTTTTGTTAATCTTTAAAAAAAAAACTCTTTGTTTTGTTGATTTTTCTCCATTGTTTTCATTTCTTTATTTCATTAATTTCCCACTGTGATCTTTATTA